GTCACGTTTTACGGTCGAAGAAACGCAGCCTGGTTAGGGAGAGGTATCGTATGAAGAGAGGAAATCTACCGGACCTCGTTGGTCAATACAAAACCAACTTTGAACGGGAAACTCATTGTTTTTTCTACCCCTTCCAATTTCGACCAGTTGAGTCTGACTGACTCACTTTATGTTGTGTTACAACACTATCGGAGTGCCAGTATCGCATATAAAATTGCTCATGACTCATTGATGAACGCTAATATTGTTATCCTCCCATCCACTTCAACGTCTAAACATGCATGGTTGAGCAGCTTTTACGAGGCTGAATTCCGCACCCTACAATAAAATCTGAAGACTTTGGGTCAAATTGCACAGTTCAAACAATCCATTTTTCAACAGTGAGCATATTAAAGATAAGAAAACTCAAAAGATAGCACAGGGACTGTCACATGGAACAAAAAACTATACTTGACGTTTGCATTTGGCATCACCCGCTTCGTGGCATTTGGCATGTCTTGTGTTTGATTTACTACAACGAACTACCACAGGTGCCCCAGGTAAACCCCTGTTATATTTCCTCCAATCAGAAATTAATAGCAATACGTCCGATAATCACACTCAAATAGAATCTCACTGACTACAACGTGGAACCAGACAAGGATTTGAGTTGATATCCCTAAGTAATAAAAACAAAACTGACATCAAAGTGATTGCAGGCTAAAGAAATAGTACATTTCAGGAAAAGAATCTAGACATTTCGTAGGCATTTCGTATGAAAATACTTGATTATACACCAACTACTCAAAGAATTTTGCCATCTACAAACAGCCCCATTGCTTTCTCGTCAATATCAATTCATAACTTTTCTTTCTTTGTTTCTTACTTTACTTCCTTTTATTGAATGGATAATAATACGACTTTTCGGAGAGGAGAATCGACTAATCAAAGGGCTTCCACACAGCACAGAATGGAAAGAGTCAGACTGTAGTGTTGGGAATCCAACACACGTCCTCGGGGGCGATAATTTGGCAACCTTTACTATTCGCCAATTATCTCCCGGGGGCAATCCCCACCCTGATTTCGCCTCACGTTACCTGTTCAACAATATTTCTTATTTAGGAGTTACTTTGTGTCTAAATTCTTAGAGCCAACGGCTATGATCAATCCAGATTGTTTGATATCTGGAGAATACGTGAAATTTCCGCAAGGTATTATTTTAGCCAAGCCACGAAAACGATCCGAATTAAATGATGGTTTTATTTTTGGCGGAAAATTGATCCTTTGTTATGATGATGATGATGAAACGACAGTCTAAATCATTTATCTTTGAGGAACACTACTGAGGTGTATTAAATGGCAGATGAGCTGAGCAAATTTAAACCCATAATAGGACAATGGGTATGGATGGTATATTCGGACAGTTGTATAACGGTTATAATGATACTGCAGAATTCCGTTTACTACAAATACACTGTGCAATGTTCTTCCCCGAGAAAAATTGGTAATACTTGGTCACGGGTTGCAAAGTACAACTTTATCTAGATGTCACTCTGCTTACCGGTTGTGCACAGATTGACCTCGTTCGTTTAGCACGTTAAAATGAGATTATGCATGTTTATTGCATTATGTCAGTGAATACCAGCTGTCTCATTTCATCGGCAGCTAATGCGGGGAAGATTGCAGCAGGTGTATCATTTCCGCATCCAAAAGTAGTTCTCGAAAATAGGATTGAACAAATGGCTGCATCGCTTCTTTTAACCCATTTGTAACATTGCTTGTCGACAACAATGTCGTGCTGTACTTTAAAAGCTGACAACTGAGAAACGGACACTGATGTATCAACATGTGGCGAATACAATTACAACGATAAGCGCTTCCGTTGTACACAGAGTCCACTACCTGAAAATTCATATTTAATGCATATTCTTCAGATACTCGTTCATGCAAAATGAAACAATATCTGAGAACAATCAAACCACGGAAAGTGATAAAGTCACGAAGGTGGTTAACTGGGTGATTGATAAGTACGAAGTATCAAGGGGTTGAAAGAAAAACAACTGTAGTGTTATACATGCTGTAATTGATGCCGAATCAAGATACACTTTGAATTTAATCCCACTTGTTTTGTTTCCGACCATTGTAAAGTGAAACTTGCGTTATTTTATTCTTAGTTTAGTATGTATTGTCAGGGTTTGAGTCTGGGCTTCGAATGCAGACGAACTAGTCATTGGCGTTTTACAGTGCTGCTAACCTTTCTCAACAGCCCTGAACTTTTTTCTGTCTAATGATACTTAAATAACCTTGAACAGAAAACCCGGCTCAAAACTGCTAGAGTAAGACCCCAAGTAGAATTAAATACAATAGGTTTATAAAGCTTCTCACTTAAGATTTTTTAAGGATTTATTCGCAGTGGTTCAATGTTCAAAAAAAGAAAATGTTGTTTGACTAAAGCAAGAATTTCAACCAGGAAGAATGTTAACCACATGCTTAGAATGACCCACATTATCTTCCCTGTGTTACACGTGCCCCGACTTAAACTATTGACACTGATCAATCGCACGCATATGCACTCACAAAAGAGGAGTCAGATTGTCACCCAACGTTTCTCCTCCTCCCCCCGTCCCCCTCCACCCCACTCCTTGCGTGATGAAGAATAACTGAAACTCGTCATATTGTGTTCAGTTCAACCTTTTGAGCATTCAACCAATAAAACACCAGAAATCCCCTTTACGTGTATACTGGATGTGATAAACAGCATCACTCCTCACAATTTCTACCATTTTGTCAGAATAGCCATGTGGGTATGTTTTAGACCAAATTTTTATCTAAACTGTACCTTAATTTGGAAGCCAAAAGCAAGGTTTACGAATGCATATGTGTCTTGTTTTGGCTTGTAGGATCCATTTACGTTGCTTGATTATCCGGGAACTTCGTTCTCCTCAAATACCTATTTATCGAAAACATGTTAGTCCGATGTTTAGCATATAAATGCAGTGAAAGAATCCCAGTTTATCATCCTGCAAGACTTCTTCAATATAGAAAATCTGCCCGATCAACGTATAGGCAAACTGTACTCAAAGTTATACCGTGTAAAACGGGCATAACTGAAAAAATCCTTTCTTCAATGGACACGATTCGAAAAATGACCAGTGAGAAAGCGAAGTTGAGGATGGAGAGCTTGTTTGAATTTTCAGTGTAACCCAGCTATAATTTTCACTTTGGGATTTTATGCACCGTGAAATTTATTTTCAGTTGTCAGTTACTTACACAAAATCAAAATCGGCATAACTTTGAGAATCACCTAGACCATTGTGAGCAGCAATACGGTGTAGTTCCTAGTAAGGAATATATCTGCACCTATCGATATATCAAGAAAACTAAAAATACATGTAATACTTTTTCTTGATTGCTGTGCCTTGCAATAAACCAAAGCTTAAACTCTGCTCATTTTCCGAAAGGTCTCTGGTGTTGTTCCGGAATGCACTTTCTGTTTTCAATTCCTCACCTAAGTAGCTAATTCTTACGGTATCCATCAATTAAACGCTGGGCGGCAGTGACCAAGTGGTAAAGCCGTCTAACTAATCACCTGAAGGTCCTGTTTTCGAACCCCACCACCACCGTCCATCTTCCCATTATCTATATTTCCTCAGGCAGCCTCTGTATGAGCGCGGCTCCGTTCATCAAAGTTTATTTTATATTTTTATGATCAATAAACACAAAAGGAAGTGAAACATTTTTGACGATGTTGTACATTGTCTGCACACCGGTAACATTCACCACGCAATCTATTCAATACATCCAACAATCTCACAAACACTGTAGTTACCTCCCATCTATTATCTACAAATCTCTGGGAAATTGGTTATCAGTCCTCTGTAAAATATTATCATCTGCATGATATCCCTTGTCACCCATGATCTTAACGAAACTTTAGTAGCCGTAGTCCGATAGTATTTACTCCCTTTACATTGCCCATCGTTGTAAATCGTGTTCTGGGATTCTTCGATGACAAGAATGCTATTTACACAAACACGTCCGATTTTCCGTCAGAAAATATATTCAATGTCAAAGAAAGCAGTTAATTCAAAAGCAGAAAGCCGTCAGGCTGCGTCGGTAGTCCAAGCAAAATGTGAAGAGCCATCCACATACGAAATAGTTAAATAGTGGTTCTCTCAACAATATTCCTCTGAATTAGCCACATCTTCTGGTTTTCACTGCAGTTGGACAAAAGGCTTTCAAGTTTCACCTCCGGAAATCTAGATTTTCTCTCCCACAATATCAGGTTTCTTGATCCGCACTTGAAGGTAAGAAAATAGAAAAACATCCCCTCAAGAGATTACAACCCACAGTTTATGCAACCATGTGCTAATTAACAATCCCACTTTAAGGAGGGCGGACATAAGTGCCAAAGAAAGAAGAGCGATTCAATCACAAATGAATCACAGAGTGGAACGTCACTATATCGGTTTTGTTATCGAACATGATGATGTGTGCTGGATGCAGGAGTGCCCCTGTCTTGACCTTCAGAGCTACTTTAGAGCGTCGTACAATCGGTTAAATGCACTAGCAATATGAGTGTCGCATTTGAATAGTTTTCAACAATAAGACAACATTTATGTAAGCAATTATCGATGTCAAACTGTTCGACTGGATAGGCTATTAACATCTCGTTCATTAAACGAGAACTGATAGCCTTTGTCATGGCCTGCTTAGCTTCTTAGCTGCAATCCACTAATCGATCTATTTTCGTGATCTGCCGAAACATTCGCTCACCTACCGCAGATCGATTTGCATGTTGTCGACTTTGGCATTAGTCCCTTCTGGACTATANACTATAGAATTGAAAAAGGATTCTTTTATTCCACTGTTTATGACCTTTACCTGGCGCATTCACTTTTATTACTGCTAAAATAAAAAAACGATTTCATCGAAAAAACCGACATAAGAAATCGCATGACTCTAATCTCGTTCTTATTTTGATCTGCCTACGAAACTGAACCAGATTCTCAATAACTCACTTCTGACATAAACCGGGGCCATTGCTTGTGGATGTATCAGAACTGGAACACGTTTCACCGGATCCCTGAGCCACCTTAGGTCTGGAATGAGTAAGACTGGTTTTCTTTGTTGTAGATTTGGCCGTGCGAGCTCCGGCGTTGGACAGGTCTAGACTGGGTAACAAACCAACTGGATGCTCTTGAGCATCGGCTAGAAATGCATACCGTCCTACCGGTTCCGTTTGACCGGCTGACAGTTTACGACGACCACAAGCAACGTGAACCAAATAGGCCATAATGTGGGCTAATCCACGTGCAACAATCTGAAACGTAAAATAAATGAGAGGTAGTCCATTCTGCCACCGAAATCATCATAAAATGCTTACGCTGTGACAAAAGTTATACAACGATTTTCCACAATATTAAATAACCAAACAGTCCCATGAAGCAAGATCCCCAGTTTTTGTGTTTTGTGATTACTGAGTGAATCATATGGCTTATTCAGTGATTTATTTACCCAAGTGTAGATCATAGACATAACAACTCTAAGGTGGTGGCATTTCGTCTCTCATAAGATATATATTTACCTTTTTGGACTCTCTTACTTCCAACGGTAGCTAGGGCAAACAGTTTAACCATAACTGAGGTCTAGAAACGGCTATAAGATAGTGTACTACATCAGAAAACAGCTAATCCACAAACAAAAGCACATTACAACCTTTCAGTTCGGACCTGTTTGAAAAGACGAAATCAAAAGTACGCACTGGAATGAAAAGCCGAGCGATGCTGGGGACGTCTCTTATACGGTACTTCTATTTTATTTTTCATTTATTCCATCGTTCCAAAGGCTTGTGCAATAAAACATTTCAGTTCTCCTTTCGTTTTTCTTTTACAAAAAAGACTGAAATGTTTAAAACTATCAATTTCGACGACAGTTCAACTAACATATCCGCTGATTGCAATTCCGATACATGCAAGTTTCACATTACGGTAACGTACGATTAAGAATAATAATTCAAGCAGACACGCCTTTGTAGCAGAAACACAACTGACTAGAACAAAGCTTCAGCAGTAAAAGAATCCACTTTCGCCCAGCACAACTTTTTTATGTTCAGTAATTCGTTAATGTAAAACTGCTATAATACACCGCCAAAAGTACACTGCAAACGCTCCAAAATGCTTGCTAAACACTATTATTTTGTTAGTATGTTACAAAGAAATGATACAGGTTATAAATCTCCTTTGAAGAAGAACAAGGGAGAAAACCTCATCTTATAACTATACCTTGATGTGCAAATGGATGTTCGGCAGATTTCAAGTTTCTATGTCGATTGTGAAAAGCTCAGTAGCCTCGGTGGGACTCGAACCCACGCATAGACGTCGCCTACGCTTTGTACGCGCACGCTCTACCAGCTGAAGTGATCCTCTCACATTCGAATTACCCATCCAACTTACAGAGGCATATGGCAGTGGTACTATCGGCGTGGCCTCGTAGGTCAGCTGGTAGAGCGTGAGCGTACATGCGTGGGTTCGAATCCCACCGAGGCTACTGAACTTTTCACAATTGCCATATACCTTTATGTGACAGTATTTTGCCATTAAAGAGTGTAAACCGATACTGCAGAACTGAACAGCAAAATATACTCCTCATTTACTGAACTAATTGCTGATCTAGGTCCATCAATGCTAGTAAAAAATTTAACCTCACAGATACACTAACATATATATGCACATATATGGTGTTTGCTTGTGTGTGTTTATGTGTGTGGGAATCTATCTGGTGTTCTACCAAAACTACCATCAATTGGTCTGTAATCTCTCTCTGCTGTCTGTCGATTGTAAAGATACAAGTGGAATTGTGATTGTTGACACTGTTGACCATTGATGTACTATTCTAATCCGATAAAACAATCTGAATGGTAAGCAAAAACCAAGGAGGAATTTTCTCTGCAGAACGGAGACGGCGGGAACGACAAGGTTTTCAAACATCAACTATAACATTGCTTTACGTTACGCGTGTGCAGTAATCCGTAAGCGTTATGATCTAAGGTGGTGAAGGCCCGTCAAAAACCTCCAAATAACGATAAACTCAAGTTTTGAACTGAGGTTTCACAGAACATGAAACTGATAGTTTGGGCTTATCGAAGTCAGAAAGTCACCTGTAGTTGCTAGAATCACTATTCCTTATTCCAGCAGTATCAGTTCACTGTACTTATTAGGTTGTTCTTCATAATCCTAGTCTCTATTCATCTTTCTTAATAATACAAAATGTATGTTAATTGATATGGATAAAATATCCATCTCCTCCGAATCTCTTTCGTCGCTTGTAAAATGATGTGCACCGCCAAACCGATGATTTAATATGGGTTCATAAACTCCACAAAGTACAGATATGAAGGGAGTAGAAACCAACTATCTGACTACGGAGTTTTGTCATCGATCTGCACTAGACATTCTTGGGTCGATTTAGTGACAAAGGATTTATGTGGACAGTCAATCGTTCACTTTACAACGGTGTTGTTTGGTCAGTGCAAAAGATAGCCACAAACAGACACCGGTTCGATTATGTATTGCAAAGACGCTAGGAGGTACTGTGTGTAAAATAATACCCTCTGTGTGAAGTTCACAAAATAGTTGGTTATACCGTCAAGAATGGAAAAGACCTGTTTGTACACACTTTCCTTCCATTGTCTAGACATTTGCACACAAATAATGATGGTAAATTGTAGCAAACGACCGAATATTTACCGATATAATTGCCAACAAGCGAGATTATGGGGCGCTTGTGTGTCAATCGTTAATACCAGTGGGGTCATCAATGGTGGGATCAGACGGCATACGAGACATGCTCNGACATGCTCTTGCATTATACTTTGAATTCACAGACAAACAAAACGCCCTCATTGCCCAGCCCCCGGTGGTGCCGGTGGTTTAAGCCACCAGACTGGGACACAAAAATTCTACGCACTGCTGATGGGTCTCGAGAAAGTGTTTTTAGTTCTTTCTGTCCACCAATACACAATACAAGTTGTTAATGTTTTATACTGTTTTATGTAAATGTGAGCAATTTGAGGCTCTTAGTTGAGTATAATTGCTTATTCATTTTTATGATTGAGATTGCACCTCATTTCCATAGGAACAATTTCTCTCTTTGAGTAGCGCTGGGGTGTTCGTAGAGTGTAAGCAGACATCAATCACCATTTGATCCGCAACTAAGAAGCAGGTAGACGTGTTTGATTCCCATGAACCTATGGAGAGCCATCTTTATCCTTTTTGGCTTCATATCCAGTGACATTTTCCCTAACCGAGTATAAAGATTTTCTTTCGACAACTCATCCCGGTATTTTGTGAAAAGCAATATTCAAAAACGTCGACCAACACGTATCAATCTGATCACATTACTAAACTTGACCGCCCTCATGGGACACAACCCATTTTGCAATACTTATCGATCAAAATGCTTTGAATATATTAAACGACATCGGGTAATCAGATTTTGAGCCCCTTTAATTATAAGATACAGTTTAAAGGATCATAGAATTTCGACTTGCAAATATAGCATAATATAGTATAATGTAATATGACACACTAGTTTATAGCTTTGAAAACCACCTGACACCGTTTTGAGAAACATTCAGAAAAATGTCAACCGGTAAAGTTGTTATTGTTTCAGACCACCTATCATCCATGCATTCCAAAGGAGCATGGCTGCACTATGAGCATAACAAACAATCAAAACCTTCATTTTTCATTATCCCTGGAAGCTAATGTTGACAAGAGTGAAGAAGTTGATTTACTTCAATCTTTTACCGAAGATCTATAGGGTATTGTTTTTGAGTTAAATGAACTGGTCCGGTCAACTCGCCAATAGTCATGTTTATTTTGCTATGTAGTTCAGTGTTTTTAACTATCAATCAGAGTTAACTAATGACTGTTACTGATATAGTCCATCAGCGTGAATACCGGACAATCGTATTTCTGCTTGGGTGACTTGCACAAAGTCCCTTCGCAGCTCAGTCGAAAACATCCACCGTTACAATCAAGCAAAAGTGTTTAAAGGCGTCCTTCAGGAAACGATCAAACATAAACTACGATAATCAAATTTGTATGTTCACAGTTACTTCGTACAAAATCCTGCTATTCATTTGAACGCAGACAAGATGGTTCAAGGCCCCGATGTCCGATTAAAATCGAAATTCCTTAGAGAGTGGAAACGGCAAGTGAATAGATCAGTTGGTTTCGATGCAATCTTTTGCCAAGAATCGGAAGGCTAATTACGGACAGTGCAGACATTTTCAGTTAACCTTCTGTGTGTACTATAGTTAGCAAGTACTAAATAGGATCTGCTCGTACGCCTTCAATCTTGATCTGAAGGGAATTTCTTAGCATAGCTTTTCTTTGCCGAAGAATCACATTTAACAAAGGCTGCAGCGCCATCACGACTACAAAACGGTTTGCAAAATCCAGACATAACGGTTGTCTTTGCTCACGATCTCCGAACACATTAGTGATAGTATGTCACAAAACAGCTTCATACTCAGGTCAAAAGTCATTTAAAATCCTTATTTGCGCATCAAGAAATTCTGCTTACCGACATTGGAGGTATTCTCAAGGGGGTTCCTTCAAGCAGTAATGTTTCCAGTTCCTTCAGTTCCTGGACTTGTGTTGGTAATTCCACCAGACGCGTGTCTCTTAAATCCAGATGTTGAATAGATTTCATCCGTCCAATTTCTGAAACGGTTTTTGATAATGACGCCACAATATAAATTAATCATGTGAGGTTACTTAGACAAATGTGCAGGTCACGCTCGTTTAATAATGCAAACCCCTTTGGTTTTCCCGAAAAAGTTCTTATTACACGTCTTTCTGAATGTAAATTGGTATCTGAAATTTTGAATGTTTTAATCAACTACTTCTTACTTGAAACCCAGTTTATTTCGTTTAATAAAACAGTCCTTTCTAAATAATACTGACTCTGGTGCTTTTGGGGCGCCATTTTGTTCTCCTTTTTTCACAAAATTCTCTCATTCTCATTAACTTCGTTGTTCGCCATTGTGCTGATTATATCGTCTTAGGATGCCCGTCCCCTGGTCCAGACTGTTTTCAGCCTCGGCAAGACCGATTTAAAGAACTTGACTACTGGCTTGTGCCTTGATTTTTATTACTCAACATCAATAAGTGCACTGATGTTCCCTTTGGTCGACCTCGATTAGCTTTTATTAGTAAGTAATCTTCCTGAACTTAGGAATAATAATCCAATCATCTCTAAATCATATCGTGTTAAGTAGCCTGGGGTTACACTCACGTATAATCTGTCCTGGTCCAATTATGGCCTTAGCGTTTTTAAACAGTATGATGAATGTCCTGTAATGCATACCGCTTCAAGGAAATGGCCGTTCAAGGTATTCTTCTTTTTGAATTAGTGATTGCCTGCATCCTTCCGCACTGATTATACTGCCCCTTTATGTTTATCCCTGGTTCCAAAGAAAAGTATTTCACGCTATTTTCCAGATCCTTCAAACTTTTGTCCCGGTACAGTGGAATAGATAGTGTTTTGGGTTTTTTTGTTTCCAATCCCTTTGAAGCTTCTGATGCGTTTATGGACAAGATAACATGATCAAGGGCACTGTCTGCATCGCAAAATTGTGAAACCTGTGGCAAATCCTTGAACTCCTTTTATATGTCAACTTGTTCCTGCGCGTACCTTCAGATACAGAAACTTTGCATTCCCATACGTTGCTCAGCTCTTGATTAACCATAGGAAACTTGTTACCCAGCTCAGGAATACTATTGTATTAATATGTTTTTTCTTTTACTACATTATCTAACTTCGTTTTGTTATATTTTGTTGATCGTTTTTTACATATAGCTACTACTGAAGTTCTCAAATTGCCCGAATTCATTTTTGGGGGTATAAAGCAATTCTCGATTCGAAAGAAATGTAAAAATCATACAGCAAATTGACGCTCTCAGTTTGGTAACTTGAGAAGCACTCAAAATTCGTCAAAACGTAATCTTTCTGTTTTGATAGTGGGGAAATTTTAAATAGGTTTGGAGTTTTTCTACTTCCAAAAACCCTTAACTCTCAATCACCGTGTACATAAATGTTGCATGCAACACTTTATTTATTGATATATATTTATTTATTCTATTTTATTTGTTTACAAAAAGCCAATTTTATTCAGGAAATAAATATGATAAAACTTTAACATTTATCTATGGAAATTCCATGATTGATTTTATCTAGCGTTCCACTTTACTGCACATTCAAGCACCCTGTGTTTAAGCATGATATATCCAGTAAAAGGTTGATCAAATTCCACTGCCTCCGATGAATGAATACTACGCTTGCCTGAAACCATCCTCCTAGCCCCCTTTTGATTGATTTCCGTTTTGAAGCCATGACTGGAAACCGAGTCCTGGCAATAGAGCTACGAGGAAGCAAGTAGTGGCATTGGCCTTGGCAGTACATTCGGGATTGCATGGCTTGAGCTTATCAGATGACCAATACTGTGAATGATACCCGGTTATGTAAATGTTAAAATGTTTCATCTTAAGTGCACTTGACCAGCTCCCTAAAAAATAAACGTTATTCAAATGAAACTCAAAAGCGGCGGACCGTGTAATGCCATGACAAAAAGAACACCATATTTTCTGAGAATGACTTTTTCTTTAGCTTTCTTCAATTTTTATCTACTACGTAGATTGTTGATACATTGCCTATTTCACGGTGACGAACATATTTATGCTCTTCTTATTGCTCATAGTTAGTAGTGATTATTTCCCCGTAGTTCATGAATCACACAGTATTGATGAGAAATGAATCTCATTTCTGTGACAATTGAAAAAATCTTTGGCATTTCACTTTTGTAAATGATCAAAAGAGGCCTTTTCTCTGCAATCAGCTGAACTTTTATCATTTGTTCGCACAGTAGTTGACAATGACACTAACAAATTATTTTATGGAGAAGCGTTGACACTCGGTTTTCTCTTGCATACGTCCGAATGAATTCCACCTTTGTCCTTTTCGAGGTTGCGATTGGCCTCCCTTGTGGTTTTCAGAATTACCTACTGAATGTTCTGTTGCAACCATGAACAATGTCCTAATTTTCGTCTCAAGAAGGCCCGCAGACTGCGGTGGGAGATTTAAATGTGACTTCAATCCAATGGTCTAACAGTTAACAGTGAAATCAAGGCTGCACGATATCCAGTTTTCGCTGAAAGTTGGCAACAAAGTCTTTACAGTTTTGTGGCTGCCGTAGTTGATTTTATTGAAAAGTTCTGCTGCGGTTTTGTTTTTGTATTCGCTTATTTTTACGTTGTTCTCATTTCCTTCTCCCCGAAAATAAGTATTTAACCAGGGGTATTGGTAATTTGCTTTCTGGCTTGAAGACCATTTCTCCAGTTGGAATCAATGCCAGATGTAAATGGGACAAATCTCTGTTTTCCCTGCTTAAGGCAACCTCATAAAGGGGTTTAGGTTAACTTCAGAACAAAGTTAATGTGCACCATTTTCAACGCAATAATAACGCTTATTTTTCATTTTATTCATCATCAATATTTCCCCAAAGCTAGTAATTTGCTCAAGCTCGCAAAATAAGTGTATTTATAATGCAATTCCTTAACACACCCATAACACCATAACATTTTATTTGCACCATCTTTTAACTCCTCGTGGCAATATAGGACATTTTCAGTATGAAAACAACGTTCAATTTTCTCTCCCGTTTTAGTGCGGAAAATCTTAACCATGTGAGGAGAAATCCATTCATTGCTCAACGCTATATGCCACACTATCTTCAAGTTTGCATCCAAAAGGCGTTTCGAACGAGGTTCATCTAGCTCCTTCGCAAATTCGACCGGTAAGAATTTGGGAATGTCAGTCGCTCTTTTTGTGAGTCAGAAAATCAATGATATATCACCGGACTATAGCTTTTGAAGTGTGATAGAGTGAATTGTTTTCCCAAAGTCGCCTGTGGCCCTACAACGATGGCGTAGGTGAATTACAGAAACTATGTACTTGAGTCTCTGCTCCATCTCTAATACGAATGGGTATAAATTGTCTCATTGAAGACAGCAGAAAACGTGCAGCGATGCATATCTTCTTTGTATGGTCCGTGATCTTTGACGAGGATGCTTCCATTACTTCCAGCTAGTATCTGGTCTGTTGATCACTTCTCTCTGGGTGTAAATGTGCGTGTTTTAACATATATAGTTTTTTCTTTTTCTCGTTTACTTTGTTTTACTGAGTACACAATGATACAAATTTTAGGAAGGAGAAATCGGCCAATCAAAGGATTGCCATGTGTTGCACAATAGAGAAAATCAGGTGGCGTTGGTAGAACTCAAAAGTACGTCCCCCGGAGTGATAATCTGGTGACGTTATCACTGGGTCACTAACGCCCTTCTATCGGTAACATCCAGTGCATTGTTTACCGCGAAGAATGACCCAGGTCTGCTGGTCTACCTTAATTCACATCAACAAATACGTATAAAATAAGATTTTCTCAATAACTCAATAAACGAATTTTATCACCGTGAACAAGTCATAGATATAGGCAGAAAATACCAAAGCCCCTTAATGTGAACCCAGCACACCTCACTTGCAGTAGACTAGCATGACGGCGACGGTTATGCAGTCTTCAAGTAAGAAATTTAACATCTCACAGTATCCATGCAGCTAAGCAACGGCCCCTCGAAATGGTGAGATTTTTTGTTATATTTGGTCATGTGTTACTTTATCAAAAAGGGATTAGAGATAAATAACCAGTTTGCTTGAAAACATCTATACATAAACATTTAAAACAAAACATTCTGTGGGACTATTTTGACTAATATAAATACGTACCGAAAATAACGCAGTTCTATCTTCAAAACATGATGGTCTCCGAAATGTTTGCAGAGAAGATAAGCCACCAGAAGAATCCTCAGAAGCTGCATAATTTCGCTCACAATGGCGGTCGATGAGGTGATTTACATAAACTATGAGTACTGTGGTCAACTTTTGAAAAAACTACTTCGCTCTGCTACTTAATGATTCCTGTTGTCGATGACCGGATGTCTATTCTATTACCCCACCCAATTTCGAGTGCTCCATTCCTACCTTCTGTAACACCTTCAGTTAAAAAGGAGTTCCACACGTTGCGTCCGACAACAATGGGAGTCCTTTTCCCGCCGAGAAAGTGACAGATCGACCGTCATGATATTTTTACCTCTTTTCAACATCTTCATTCGAATGGAGCACCCGAAAAGGTTGTCTGCACATCAAGTACTCCACCTCATGCATTTACAAATCTACTTTGCGTGATCTTGACTAAAGAGCCAATAATTTCGAAACGCAAATAGGAATTCTGCTCACTTCGCAAACGTAAATGGTTTCGGGAAATGGCTTCACGATAGAGAATTTCGTAAATACTTAATTAGTTTGAAGTAAGTGGAAGTGGTTTTCATCGTAGAAATGAACTACATCCGTCGATGGGTAAAGTTTTGAATTAGATGGGCCAAAACGATAGAATATTTGATTTGAACGACGTACCGTCCACCGTAGGCAGTATGAACCAGATTTTGTGTAACACCCCCTATTCCTAATCAATTATTTTCGTTTTATAACTTCTCTATTTCTGGGGCCATCTCAAAAAAACATTACGCGAAATGAGGTAAAAAACAACTGAAATTAGCTTCAAGATGACTGAGGGGATATCAGCGAGCTGAGGAGTCAAA